TTGCCTATTATTGCTTACATCCTCTTTTATTTGAACTTTGGTGGATATATAGTTGTCTCATTGGCAATCATACCACATCTCCTTATGTTTATAAGACAAGAAATACGTTTTGTATTTAAAAACGGTCTATGGTTAAAACATTTACCTTTATCCTCAGACATCTTTGGGGGGAATGCTCTTGAATCACTGTTAACTCCCGTCCTTGTTTTAGTGGCCCTCTTTGAGTATTCCAAATATCATTCACCTGACGAAGTTGTCTTGAGCTCCACGTCACCCCATCTTAAATGTTCGTGCTCTGTACGAGATCTCATCCCAAAATACATGCTGTTGTTTAGAAATACAGTGTTCGATAAGGACTTTGCATTTCCTGAAAAATAAATGCTATATTTAATAACAATCAAATTGCACTTATGAGGCAGAGGGTGTATATAAATATATCATTGATAATGTTAGTCACAGCTGACAGTTTTCATTTTCCAATTATCGTAGCTTTACAGAGACTTACACTAAGTTTGATCTGAACCTCATCTGAAAAGTCTAATTAAACAAATATGCAGGCATGTTTTTTTATTCAGCCAATTTTCAGACTGATCCTAGGCGGTCTTACAATTTTCTTATAGTCAATGTAGTACTGTTCGATAGCTTTGCAGACAAGTGTGCATGCTGTTGATGTGTACAAGTAAAACAATTTTCGAACAAAGACTAAACAGCTCCTAATTGACCACAAGCGACTTGTCTAAACAATTCTTAATTTACCAGAATGGATGAATCTGAATATTGACTAAAATACTGCAAATGACATTTAAATGTTCATATTTGGTATGAATGCCAATGAGACAATTCTACACAAGATAATAGCACAGACATTGACACATATAGGTCACCGAACGGCCTTCAGCAAAACCCATACCGGATAGTCAGTTATAAAAGGCTCCGAAATGACAAATGATAAAAATTTCAAACGGCCTAATTCATATACTAAATAATGAACGAAAACACATATTTAACACAGCAACAATCGAAAACCACTACATAACAGACTCCTGACTTGCGACAGGCACAAACATTTAGAATGTGGCGAGTTTAACATGTTAGCGGAATCCCAACCCTCCCTTTAGTCTTTTAAGTGCTGTTTTAATGCAAATTACCGTTTCAGATTAAAATCGGTTTATCAGTGAATTAAATGTTTACTATAACATAGATAACTGGATAAAACGAGGTGCTGTCAGTACCGTTAAATGCTAAATTACTAAAATTCAAACATGATTATTCTTAACTATAGAAGTGGTGAGAAATACAATTGGTAATAGGAAAACAAAGGATGGAACATCCATCCTTGACACAAAATCGGTACATGCACTGTAAAACAATATATATATAAAAAAAAAAAGCAAAGTTAATTCTCTACCACAATTGTTTTTTGTTTTTTTTATTGAAAACCGTTTGACAGTTAATACAAATAAGGAGATGTGGTATGATGACCAATGAGACAACTTTCCATCAAGGTTGAGATAAAGTGGATGTTAGCAATTATAAGCAACCATACGGTTTCCAACAATGAGAAAAACCCATACAGTATAGTCGGTGTAAGCGCCGACGTGGAAATTATGAAACAATCGATTATTAATACAAACGGCCTAATGTATAACAAAAGAATTTACGGAAAGCGAATATGACGGAACACTTATATTCAAATTGTACTTTGCTTAACAGAGGAGCAAAAGTGGAAAAAATACCAAACTACGTCAAATGACAGTAGAAGGATAAATGGCACAAGGTATGTACAAGTTCTTGTTTCTTCGTAAATTCAAATCAAATATCCCATGCCTTACACGTCATTTATAAAAAAAAATATGTTTCCATTACTGCTATTTCTACGCAAGGTAGGTTTCTTAAGTATGACATTTTTCTTTGTACAAGATATTAACAAACCATGTCAAATTGTGCATTTTGTTTGTGAAAATACGTATGACTTACTGTTATTAGCACGCCATTTAAAGATTCAAAATAATGGTTTCATTAGTTTCTCTATAAACATTTTAAGCATTAAAATAAAAAAAAAATGGCTTAATCTTAATTTTAAATGAAAAAACAAAATGTTTCGTTCCTGCTTGTAAAATAGAACAGCGTGTATTTCTGATTTTTTTTTTCGATACGAGCTTTATCATGATTATGTGTTATGTATTAAATATATAACATGTATAAAGCGTTTGAGAAAAATATTAACTAGTAAAAACGCGTCTTATCCTGACAAATGATTCGTGACTTCAAATGATAATATTTCAACTTGATATTGTTTAAATTACACTGATGTTATCATCAACAATATGTTACGAATAGAAGGTGCATAGTAACAAAATAATCAAGTCACAATACATTAAAGGAGAACATGGATAAAATGTCCCGTCTGTCTTGATCAAATATTGCACTTTACAATTCAAACAGCAAAATCAGTTAGTGTTCATGTCTATAAACAGAGGGTTTTAAGAAGGTAGGGAATTTTAAATCTTTAAAAAAAAATAAGAAAAAGATTATAGTAAATGAAATTGAGTCTTAAACAGTAATTGTATTTTTAACTTCATGTGAAAAGCCTGAAAACGGAAAATGTGAAGTCCTGTTATGAGTGTAAGTTAATATTCAGATATTTGTTTCTTTAGAATTCAATACACATTGATACAGTTCAGTTATTATGCTTGCAGTCAAAACAAAACTGACAAGTAGATTTTTTTCAGAAAATTAAGTCTGATGTTAATGTGTACAGGTAAATAAGAACAACTAATAATCCGTACAAAGACTGTACCAATATTATTTGTCTTCAACAGAATTTAGTGAATTATTTCTTTGTTTCAGTTACAAGAACACTGCAAGAAATGGAAATGGTATGGACACTTATGCATAGTTTTGTTCTGATAGAGGAAAATAATATTTATAGTTTGAGCACATATATTTCGAGTACTAAGAACAGTTTTATGACCGTTTCTAGTACTTTCTGAGGCAAACATTACTATGCGGTGATGTGACAAGAAATATCGAATCGAATTTATATATTCATTTATTTTAATTTCATCCATCTTCATTATGTTCGCTATATCAGTTATTGAATTGATCAGAGCAGACACATGTATCGTTTAAATTCAAAAATCTAAAATAATATATCACTGTCAAGAAAACACGCTTATAATCAATCAAAATTATGATATCGTTATTATTTGCAAAAATTGAGACAGACGTTTGGCATAAAACAAAGTAGCAAAAAGAACGATGTAATGGAATTGTGAAGGCAGTGTTTATCACTTCCCATAATCGTAATTAACTTTCACGCATGTCTTTGAAAAGTAGAAATAATACATTGCATTTGTTCGAAATGATTTTTAGACATCCCCTTATCATGAACGCTAAAACTTTCCTAAAAAATGAATATCAAGGGTGTATAAGTATTTGAAAATACCAGGGGTGATATGGACTAAGTGGTCCTCTTGAAGTAGCCAAAACCATCAAATGCCATTTTACTTTTATTCAAAATGGACGGAAAATTATAACCTGATCAAAAATGTTTTGAGGATTTACAGAAAGAATCGTGACGTCTTGAAATGATTGAATAAATGTATAAACTAATTGGTAGTCATGCCACTTACTAATGTTTTTACATATAACTGTGGAATATTATATGGAATAATGTATTTAGCTTCTGCTGGATACTTTAAACAATTACATTTCTGTATTCTACATTTTCTTTTTCAGGATCCAAAAAGATAACAAGTAGTTGTTAGTAGGATTCATGCAACCATGGGACTCAATAAAACCATGTATTGGCTGACAATGAATAGTCTATGTTTGTGTTTCTTATGTCGATTAAATTGTTAGAACGATGCATGCAACATTGCTGGTTTGTTTTATTTATACTGAAATCTGATTTATTTTATATCTAACAGAGTAGAATTTAACAGTTTTAAAAAATACTTTATATAATCTTTATACATAAATGCTGATGTTTTTAGCGGTTTTCTCTTATTCCTATATTTCTTCTTTCAGTGATGACACTGGTTATACGTGCTTTGGGAGAATTGTTGTTACTACCCAGATACCTTTTGCCTATATACAGCATTGTGATTTAAACAAGACATTTAAGGCTTAGAAAAACTAACTCTTCAAGTCCTTTTCATGTTCATTGGCCAATCAGCGGTTATGAATATGTGTGTCCTTTACGAATTTCAGTATTTATTAATTTGTACATTTTAAAAGATCTTAAATTCATTTTACAAGTTTGTGTACTTGGGACTCTTCGCCAGACATATTGTTAACGCAATTTTTCTATTGTTTGAAGATTGTAAATTAGTACCTACAATACTAATCCTTTTATTTGTTTTGTTTTTTTGTTTTTTGTTTCATTTCGTTTGGTTTTTTTAAGTATAAATAAATAAACCCGCATTTCTTATGAGATTATTCTTTATGAGATGAAACCTTTGGAACTATAATTTGAATTGATTTTCGCTGATCAAGTTACAAGACGCCATCCCAATTCAAAAAGGGCGTAAATTGTTTTACGTAATAAAGAAAGCGCCCAATTTTAGTACAAAAAAAGTCCATCCAACCATATAGTCAATAGTATAGTCGTTTGAAATCCTAGCTATTGGAACATTTCTCAGTCTGACTCTTCCATATCCTTATTGGCAATGATTTAATAATCGACTAAATACCCATCGATCATGTAAAATGTTCAACAAAAACTGTCCCCTCACAGACATCTATGCTAAAAAACATTCTTTTGATAAATATACTTTCCAAACCATAGAAGTCAACACTGGGTTTGACACTCAGGCGAGACGAATAGAGAAAAAACGTTTAGATCCACCGGCTCCATACTTTAGAACCTAATCGGCTTTATGAAAGGATAAAGAACAACTAATTATATAGCATCATCCGTTATATTAATATGTTTCAATGTTTCAACATCGCTGTTTGCTGGTCGAAACGAAATAAAAAGATAACAAAGCAGGTAAAACAATTTCGCATTATTCTTTTTAATTTTGAATTACACTTTTATTCTGTTTTAAACTCATCTATTTACAAACCAAACAATCCGTCAAAAGAAACTTATCCTCTCATAATATCTGACAAAATGAATCTTCGTTTTCAATATGATTTCTTTGATTCCTTCTCAACGCATTTTCGGTTATAATTGGTTTGAATTTGTCTTCAGTTTTCTTTATTTGCTCCCGTATTTCTTTTTCTTTATTCTCAAACACCGATTTCATTTTTTGGTTTGCTTCTTCAAGTTGTTTTTGTAGATTTATTTTGACTATGTCCGATTCTATATTTTTCGATTTCAAGGCTTTTTCCAATTCACGAACGGTTTCTTTTTCTTTTTCTATTTTTTTCTCGTATTTATCATCTACTTTTTTTCTATATGCTTCTTTTTCTTCTTCCAATTGCTTTTCCTTTTCTTCCTTATCTTTACGCATCCTCCTTTGTAGTGCACGTTCTGCTTCTTTGTACATTTCGTTTGTATAACAAGATCCGCCATTTTTCTCGCCCATCGACTCTACCATTTTAAAAAAGGAATCAACTTGATCTGATTGAGATTGTCCAACCGCGTGATTGTTAAACGCAAGGTATCTATTACCGCACTTACCAAGTATAGTTTTAAGATACTCCGGAACAGTTTGAACGTATTGATCAATCGATTGATTTGCTATCGAAAGGTCTTCCTTTCTAGTAAAAAGTACAATCATATAGCGAAGAACACCTTCACCAAAGTTATCGACATAATGTTTGACTGTAGCTTTTTCTTCCGGCGTAAATCGACTAACACTTTCAACAAGGACCATTGCGTGAAGTCCAGGTGATGTCATTGCAATACATCTTGCTATCTCCTTCGTAACAGTTTCATTCGTCGTTTTCGTATCGAATAACCCGGGTGTATCAACTATAACTATGTTTTTCCCTTCCCGTACAGATTCTCCGATATTACAACTTTCCGTTACTGAAGAACCACAAGGTTTTGATAGAAAATGATTGCAACCCAAAAGACTATTTCCTGTTGCACTTTTCCCGTGTCCTGTACGTCCAATAAGTACTATTCGTATTTCATTATCTTCTTCCCTGACTGTCGATCCTACAAAAAGATAAAATGTATTTTATTTTTTTTAGCATATTGCATTATATGTGTAAATAATCATTTAAAAATAGTTAAACATCATTTTCGAGGACTGATTTTTTTTTTTTTGAGAATGAATCCGGTATTATATTAGTCAGTTTTAACTGTGAAAGAGGACGAAGTCCACATAAATAACTGATATAACACTAGTTTTTACAGATACATTATTTTGACTTTTATTACAACATGTACAAAGGACTTCAGTTATTGTAACATTTTATATTTTACAAAAAACACCAATCATGATTAGTATTTAGTAACATTTGAAATATCCTCCAGTATTTGCTTTGTGACATTTGGTTGTACAATAAATAATTCGTTTTACCGAATTGCAAAAAAGAAAACAAGTTCCAAGCATAGTTTTTGTTTAAAAAGAGATTTATATACTGAAACGTATCCGATGTTGGCCTTGCTGTTAGATATTTTATTCATGATGTCATCATAAATGTCATAAAGAGAAGGCTATCATCTAATTTTAAGATAATGTAATAATTTGGACACTAAAGCAACAAATATGCAAAGTAGGCTTATCAATACTTAGATATCTTCTTGTACCCTCGAGGGGGCCTCGGTGACCGAGTGTTATAAGTAGCTACTACTGTAATCACTAGCCAGTCAACACTGAAGTTGTGAATTAGAACCCCGCTCGTGCGGGTTGACTCTACTCCAATCTTAATTGACTAGGAATGTCAGTTTTCCTTTCGAAGGACGGTGGTTTTCTCCGGACTAGCTAATTGCAATATAGCCCAACTTTAAATGTAGAGGTAAACTAAAATGTCACTAATGAACACATTTATTTTACAACCAGTTGTTGACATGATACGGGTTATGTTCTTCGCCATGTTCTCTTATATTTTTAACTGTGTTTTACTGTGCGTATTGCTGTGTGTTTCTTTGTTGTACATTGGCTAGAGGTATAGGGGAGGGTTGAGATCTCACAAAACAGTTTAACCCCGCAGCTGTTTTGCGCCTGTCCAAAGTCAGGAGCCTATGGCATTTTTTAGTCTTGTATATTTAAGTTCCCTTATATGTTTTGGAGTTTAGTGTGATGTCCATTTTAACTGGGCTGGTACACATTTTTTTTGTGTGCCAGCTCAGGACCGCCTCTGAGTGCGTGATGTTCTCGCTGCAGATGACCCATTGGTTGCCTTCGGTTGCTATCTCCTCTTTTGTCTGGTTGTTGTCTCTTTAACATGTTCCTCATTTCCATTCTAAATGTTCAATTGATGTAGGATATTGCTCTACCATAGAAATGTAGACCGCGTTATATAAATGTAGAGCATCGAATATCTTATATTGAAATTTTAACATATATCTACAAAGCCATTTAATTTGAAAATACAATATTGTGTTTGCATTAATCATTTTATTCTTAGCACTTTGCGTACCAGTGTCTTATGTAGGTGTAATAAATTTTTGTTGAAAGAGCTAATCTAAAAGTCTTTCCTGTTTTATTTCTTTTTTATTTGGGAATAACAATATTGTATATCAAACCATTTTTTTGTATATAATCACCGTAACAGTTACGATGCTTTTTTTGTAACTCAAAGTTGTATTTTACTCATCTATTTTTCATAAGAAGCAACGATGTTCACTTTCCATTTGAAAAGGTAGTACCTCATTATTTTGAAACTTTTTAAAAATGATAAAAACACATCATGAAATATTTTAAATAATCTTAATTTGAATGTTATGGTAAAGCAGATATAAATAAGAATAGGAATTAAAATGTCAATTGTTCTTGAACAATTGAGAGGTCTTTCCTTTTCGTAATGTAAAATACATGTCCCAATAGACGTAAAATGCATTGAAAAGCTCTCAAACACACATAAAACCGTTAAAATATGACAAAAAAAACAACAAATTTCGCTATTTAGGATATGACCTTGACTTTTGACCTTGTGACCTTTGTGAAGGTCATTGGTCCACGATATCATTATAAAAGACCCCATGGGTCTAGGACCTTTAGTTCAAGAGTTAAAGATTATTTAGTTGTTTTCAGAAAGCGTTAACGGGGGTTATGCCCCTTAATGATATGTCAAATCTCTTCGGTCATAATGTAAAAAAGTTGTGCCTTAGTCACCTAAACATTTTTCACTATTTACTATTTCTGTTAGTATAATAGTTTTTGAGATATCCAATAAAATGTTGTAAGGTCAAAGGTCAAGGTCAACCTTAAAAAGCTTTAAAACACACTAAATATCCTTTAAATAAGGTCAAAAACACATAATTCGCTATCTGGGACATGACCTTGACCTTTGACCTTGTGACCTTTGTCAAGGTCATTGGTCCCAATTGTCATTGTTGAAGATCCCATGGGTCTAGGACCTTTGGGTTAACAGTAAAAGCTGATTTTGTCTTTTTAGAAACATAAATTAGGGGTTATGCCCCTTATAGAAAGGTCAAATAATTTCGGTCAAAATGTAACGAAGTTGCGACTTAATGACCCAAACATTTCCCACTATTGAAAACTTCTGTAAGTATAATGGTTTCTGAGATTATCCCATAACAAGGTGGTAGGTCAAAGGTCAAGGTCAACATACAAATTTGACCCTGAGATATTTTTTCAGAGTCACATCAATTGATGATTGGTGAAGATCCTAGGTGTCTACGACTTACGGTTTCTGAGTTTTGGGGGCCAACCGACGGGGGTTAATTTTCAAAGGGGCATAACCCTACCAATGAGTCGTTGAATCTTTTCAATCCAAATGTAACGAAGAACCGGGGTCTGGTCCTGAACAAATTTCACCCTTCGGTTTTTTTCTACCTATTACGGTTACGGTGTTTAAATGATAACAAGGTTTTTAGATTTCGGAGGGATTACTCCGAACCGTCAAAATTTTTCGATTCACAGGGTGAGTTCCAGATAGGTATTCATGACGCCGATACAAAGTGTGAACCTGGAAGCGACATGGCTTACGGTTACGGAGGGAAATTTTGTCAAAGTTTGGCGGAACAATAATAATAATAATAATAATAATAATAATAATAATAATAATAATAATAATCAGAAGAAATACAGTAAGGTCTTTCCCTTTTGGAAAAGGAAAGACCTTAATTACTCATAATGTTAACGTTAACCTTGATTGATTATGTTATAATCAGAGTTTAGATTATAAGTAAAAGTAAAAAAAAATAGTTACATTATAAGTAGTAGACGTATGTAGACAAAACAGTTTCTAAAATGAAAAAGAATAATCTTGAAAGGGTCAGAAGTTGAAGATTAACAAAGAAAACAGTAAAATCACAAAAATACTGAACTTCGAGGAAAATTAAAAACGGAAAGTCCCTAATCAAATGGCAAAATCAAAGGCCCAACACACCAAACAAATGGACAATAACTGTCATATTCCTGACTTGGTAAGGCATTTTCTCATGTAGACAATGGTGGATTGAACCTTGTTTTATGGCGCTAAACCTATCTCTTGTACGACAGTCGCATCAAATTCCATTATATTGACAACGATGCGTGAACAAAAAAGAAAGGGGTCATTAAAAAAAAAATATGCATTGTATGATCATTTTAACCACAAATAACGATAAGTTTTATTCAATTCTTCAATTCATATAGAAATAATACTCAAAACACTGTCCTTATGGGGCATTTCTAATTTGTCCTGACATATTAAAACGATCATTTGAAACAACAGAATACACGCAGACGACAATGTATACTATATGTATCCAGACTTTTTTTCAGGCATATTAAAGACTGTTAAGTCATACAAATTCAAGAAAACATTGATTTTTAAGATTATGGTGCCTTTGTATTCACAACGGGTGAGATTGCATGATTATTGACAATAGAAACCATGTAAACTGTAAATATGAATACCTCCAAAATATTTCGAATGACGATCTTCAACTCGTTTGTTCCTCATTTCTTCGCACACAATACCTAAAAATAACTCAGTTATTCAAGTAGCAATACACAAAAAAAAACGATTATGTTTACTAAACCATATCAAGAAACTATTCTGTCTTTAATACTGTCTTGAATAAGATTTTCTCTGATGTTTTAAGATAAAGTTTTATTGTTTTGTTTTCTGTTTCTGTGTCTCTGTGTTTTTGTTTGATATTTTCTTTTCCGTTTCTGTCGGACCAATACTACATGTGTAAATGAATCTAGATGTTAGTATATTGGTCAAATTTCGCCACTTTCTCTTGTACCATTAAACACTTACTAATTAGTCAACAAAACATATGCTTATTTTGAAAGGTTTGTAAATCTGTTCTATTTAAAAAGACGGAAATACGGTAAATGAGATAAGGTGACAGATATATATTTAACCCAACCACCAAGAAAGTCTTCAGAATAAAAAACCTCTTTTAAATTGATTTTATTAGTGTATATCAGTGCGTAACTGTCTACAAACCATACGTAGAAAACTAAAGACCGAACAACAGAAACACGGTAAGGATTATCAGCACCTGCTCTACATATGTCATCAGTGGAAAAGTTCACTATCGTGTATTAAGTATAGCAAAGTCATGAAGCCGTTAAAAAAATCCAAATTAAAGCATCAACATTGAAATTCTGAATGTAGAAACTATGGTCGAAGAATATATTATAACAATATGCAATCATCACAAATTTAATATTGGAGCTCCTATGTGAGATTTTGAAATGTTAAATAAATGTTATATCGATCATAGACATATCTGTTTTTTTTTTATTTATATCTTTTCTTTAGGTTCACCAATTATAGTTCTTATAATGTAAGGATAACATGGTTTTGTTCGCTTACTTGTTTAACCATCAGTTCAAAAAATATCTGAAATGTCATTCTAGCTTTAACAGTAAAGGAAAATACAAGTTTTCTGTAATATAATTTCGACTTATGAATAATACAATACATGAATTTTACAATACATGCATTGTATCAATTTAGCCAAATAATCCACTTTTATTTTACGGTCGTCGCTATTTTTCTTACTCTACACATTGCTCGTGTATGTCTATATAATTAATGTTCCTCATAGTTCGGTATTATTTATTATTTTACTTTTTACCATTCGAATGCAGTTTTATATTAGGAAACAAGTCGTCTGGGTATACGTTTCTCGTAATGTACAAGTCATGTCCATTTAGAATTTTTCAAGTTACATGATCATGAAGGTTATGAACTATATTTTAAAAAAAGTAAAATTACAAAAATACTGAACTCCGAGGAAAATTCAAAACGGAGAGTCCCTAATCAAATGGCAAACTCAAAAGCTCAAACACATTAAACGAATGGATAACAACTGTCATATTCCTGACTTGGTACAGGCATTTTCTTATGTAGAAATTGGTGGATTAAACCTGGTTTTATAGCTAGCTAAACCTCTCATTTGTATGACAGTCGCATCAAATTTCATTATATTGCCAATGATGTGTGATTTATTGTTGCCTATCGAAAAAAGGTTTTCCGCGAATCTGCTGGTTTTGATAACACATATTTTATTGTTATGGAGGATATTACGATGGCTTGATGTTGTTGTTTCCTGCCAAATAACGGTTTTTGCTAATAACATGAATAAGGTTTGAATATGCATTTACGACGTCAGTGACTACTGGGCATATTTTGATTGGCTAATACGAGGGAGAGAACTTAAATACTCTATCCCATGACTGAGCGTGAGAAATTGTTTTTAATATCACCCTCTTTGCAGAAAAATCAAAAATATAAAGTCTAAAGGAAAATAAATTGAAATTAAGGACAATAATTAAAGACAATGATCCAGTTTAATGTTTTGTCTCAGAAGTGGTTCATAGACTGTCAAAACAATTAAAAAATAAACAACCTTGCTTCACTTGATATGTTTTAATGTGCGTTTTAATGTACGTGATGTCAAATTTGAATGCCTAAAATTTAAAATTCAACAGTAAAAGACAATATTTATAGGACATTCAGTTTATCAAATTAAATAACAAATAGCTGAGATGGTGATAGAGCAGATTGGTACTCTAAAAATATTTTCAATCTTGGCTTCAACTCAGATGAAAATATTTGCTCGGGGTAACAATCTGCTCTATCACCCTCTCAGTTAAGTGTTAATTATAAAAACTATTTACAAAAAAAACTTCATATCAGTTTACAAAAGCTCTGAAGGGAATAAGTTAGAACAAAATTGACGTGACCAAATAATGTCAGCTCTTGGTTACCTGAGGGTACGAAATGTTGATGTTTTGTTGAGATTATCTAGAATCATAGACACATATGTTATAGTTTTCATGTTAACAGCAGGTCATTTCGTTAACACTGACGTGTGTATGCAATTCGTGACACTATGGGGACATCTTATTGTATTATTATTTATTTAGATCTGTTGACATTTATCCTAAAAATAATTAATTTCAAAACAACTTCCTTAAAGCAGTTCAACAAAAGCGAATGTGACCTAAAGAAAAGTATTCAATTCTTTATGACAATGTACATTATATAACTGAAAAATTTGTGATACTCACTTAGTTTTTCGTCTAGTTCCTTCGTTTTCTGAAAAAAATATTGAATAAAAACGTTTTACCTGAAACTGTATTTGAAATATAACTATAATAAAAAGATAATCAAGTTAACCGTAAAACTTGAACGTTAAGTGGAATTAAGATGTCTATGTGGCTAAAAATAATAAAGTAGTTTTACTAACTATTTCACTTTACTTCATATTATCAACCAGAAAATGTAAAATACAGTTATGACAAATAGCCGATAAACAAAATAATGGAAATTTTTGTACTGACTTCATCAGTTCGAAAATCAGTCCGCAATAGCGGACACGCTTAATATTGTTGTTGATAAAGTCAGTAGCAAAAACAAAAAGGCCATCATTCTATATATAGCAACCAAAATAATTATAAATAGACGAAAAGTCAATACCATTTCTAAGTTTCTTATCCTTCCCTGTAAACCGTTTTCTAAATATTGTAATTCTTCTTTCACTTTGATAATTTGAATGTCTGTTTCAGTCAAACCATGCTGTACATATTCTAATAGAACAAGAGTCTGTAGACGTATTTCATCCGCTATCTCAACACCACGTTTTGTTTCACTCAGAAAATAATTCTGACCTATAAGGAAGGAAAAAATAATTGATATTCAGGTAAGGCTAAATAAGACATATTTCAAACATATGCTAATAACTAACTATTTGTGTCATGTCTTAACAACATGTTACATGACGGCTGATAACATATTGATTGATGTTTTTGAAGTATACGTTGTGTTGTCAGTGATATGGATCACAGCAATGCTGTGGTCATTGATTTGAAATATAGCAAAGTAGTCTGTTTTGTAGGAGACATTTAAGATTATGTAGGTTTCTGATGACCAACGCTGTGTCATTTATAAAGTATTTGTCATGCGTGAGTTGGATCCCAGAAATATAGTTTGTATTTTTTATGTCGCGAATTGTGTCTATTATTATAATTAAAATATAGTTTTGACCCTGTTTCTGAACATCACTGATGATTGCGATGAACCTGTCCAGCTATAATGTAATGGAATGTTGGTTTAAACTTGCAAGATATCAAACTTCATATTCAAAATAAATCGTTAAGGGTGCCACGGAACCGCGATTGGTGCTTTCAGTGTAGAAAGCGTAAGGAGTGATATGACATAAAAACCAATTCATCTGAGGTACACATTGCATGGGGAGTTTGAACCTTAGTTTCTAAATGATTTCTTCACTTATAAATGGTAAATTTGACATAAGTTTATGTTATAATTTCTTAACCGACGCATTCAAACTGATCTAATTATACCCTCAACAGGAGTGTTATCTACCCAGAGCTACTGCAATAAAGATAAAACTTTTAACAAGGTTCATTTATTCGTAAATTAAATTAAATTAAAAACTACAAATGACACTGCGGAGGACGGAATGCAGCATCGCTATTTCTCGCTTCCGCTTCCGCATGTCGAAGGCCTCGACAAAAAGTTAATTTTGCAAACACTATGTTATAATTTTTAGATACCATTTGCTACCCATGTTTTGAGTTCTCCTAAACTTCTTTTCCTTTCAGGGTCACTCAGACTAAGATCCTTGACGAAATGGCCCATTATATGGAAACAATTTCTATATTTTTCTCTGGTCCAATTTCTGAAGTCACAATGCGCCCAAGAATTGCGTATGTCTACTCGTATCTAAACAATTGAGAAATAGTTAATCAGTTTCATAACTGATGACAGGAATATATCGTTGCCTTAACATTAAAGGAGAAAGAAATAATGACAAAATTGCCTTAAAACTTTTTAAAATATTTCAAAATTTAAGCGATAAGCAAAATCAGTTTTTTGTTAATTTCAATTACACATTACTTTGATAAATTAAAATATCTATATACTATGGATTTAAGTTTATGCTCCTTGGGTCGTGTTTAGATGCAGGTTCTTTCAAAGGACACAAAGAGTCGATTTTAAATTAACTTGAAAACGGGTACCTTAACAGCATCGATCTCGGAGGAACGGTAACTGAAATTGATTACAATATACATGCATTGAAAACAATTAGCTCACAACTTTTTTATGACTAGTTCATTAAGTCATATCGAATATAACACAGTACCTATATATATTAAAATGTTTACCTTGTCAGCATCTAACTATGTAGACTGTAGGAATAACTTTGACAAATCCACATGGCTTGTGACTTTGTAATCATATTTCTGGCAGTCACCTTTCCATGCGTTGATAATCTTTGTCTTAGGTACTTTTCTGTTGTCGTTTATTGATTCATAATTCAGAAAATATTTATTTGTTTCCGGGTATTTCTTTAAATGTGTATGATAATCCTGTGTATCAATGGAGTCGCTAAATACCAATGATTTGTACAAATCAATTATAATAGGATTCACATATTTTCTCAGCAGAGGAGAAATAATCGTATGTAGACATATCCCAATAATCAGCCATCTTTTCTTTTCGTTATTCAAATCTCCCGGTGGACCTGGAATTAAATCAATGTAGGAGAGGTGGAGCACATGAAATCGACAAAATCTAAATAAATCATAGTATATATATACAAGTCTAAATTGAAAACAACGTTCAAACCTATGATTGAGTTGGATAAAAACCGCAATTTTTATACGTGTGCATGCAAAACTAATTTCTTGGTAGAGGGGTCTAAATACAGCACAAACAAAAATTCCCAAAAGACCAAATGAGTGAAAAAGTATATTTTAACAAAACGCATTTGACTAGCAGGTCGAACAACTGATGTTCAAAAACCCTGCTGACTGGCATTGGCGATTGCCAAATAAACGGATCACAAGATGTAACAAAATAGATCTTATTATTAATTTATAACCAAACAGAAAACAATAAATTTGCGGAAAAGATAGTATTCCGCAAACATGAGGTGCAAAAATTTGTACACCATATCCGGAATTGAAACAATTAATGTCTCTTCAGTGATGTTAGGAATCGAAACGGTATTTGGAAGGCCATGTAATTTTCCTCAATTTACAATAGACTCTTGAATTTTGAAAGAGTCAAAATAGGATGAACGGATCATATAAACCCGAAGGCAAATATAATACAAGCCCAAACGAACAAATATAAACAAGTCTAAATTGAAAACAACGTTCAAACCTATGACTGCGTTGGATAAAAACCGCAATTTGTATACGTGTGCATGCAAAACTAATTTCTTGGTAGAGGGGTCTAAATACAGCACAAACAACATTTCCCTAAAGACCAAATGAGTGAAAAGGTATGTTTTAACAAAACGCATTTGACTAGCAGGTCAAACAACTGATGTTCTTAAAACCTGCTGACTGGCATTGGCGATTGCCATATAAACGGATCACAAGATGTAACAAAAAAGATCTTATTATTAATTTATAACAAAACAGAAAACAATAAACTTGCGGAAAAGATGGTTTACCGCAAACATGAGGTGCAAAAATTGGTACACCATATCCGGATTTCAACAATTAATGTCACTTCAGTGATGTTAGGAATCGAAACGGTATTTGGAAGGCCATATACTTTACCTCAATTTAGGATAGACTCTTGAATTTTGAAAGAGTCAAAATAGGATGAACGGATCATATAAACCCGACGGCAAATATAATACAAGCCCAAACAAAAAAATATAAACAAGTCTAAATTGAAAACAACGTTCAAACCTATGATTGCGTTGAATGAAAACCGCAATTTTTATACGTGTGCATGCAAAACTAATTGCTTGGCAGAGGTGTCTAAATACAGCACAAACAACATTTTCCAAAAGACCAAATGAGTGAAAAAGTATATTTTAACAAAACGCATTTGATTAGCAGGTCGGACAACTGATGTTCCTAAACCCTGCTGACTGGCATTGGCGATTGCCAAATAAACGGATCACAAGATGTAACAAAATAGATCTTATTATTAATTTATTACCAAACAGAAAACAACAAACTTGCGGAAAAGATGGTATTCCGCAAACATGAGGTGCAAAAATTTGTACACCATATCTGGATTTCGACAACTAATGTCTCTTCAGTGATGTTAGGAATCGAAACAGTATTTGGAAGGCTATATAATTTACCTCAATTTAGGATATACTCCTGAATTTTGAAAGAGTCAAAATAGGATGAACGGATCATATAAACCCGAAGGCAAATATAATACAAGCTAAAACGAAAAATATAAACTAGTCTAAATTGAAAACAACGTTCAAACCTATGATTGCGTTGGATAAAAACCGCTATTTTTATACGTGTGCATGCAAAACTAATTTCTTGGTAGAGGGGTCTAAATACAGCACAAACAACATTTTCCAAAAGTACAAAAAAGAACAAAAGTATATTTAAACAAAACGCATTTGACTAACACGTCGAACAACGGATGTTCTTTAACCCTGCTGACTGCCATTGGCGATTGCCAAATAAACGGATCACAAGATGTAACAAAAAAGATCTTATTATTAATTTATAACCAAACAGAAGACAAGAATCTTACGGAAAAGATGGTATACCGCAAACATGAGGTGCAAAAATTTGTACACCATATCCGGATTTCGACAATTGATGTCTCCTCAGTGATGTTCGGAATCGAAACAGTTTTTGGAAGGCCATATAATTTACCTCAATTTAGGATAGACTCTTGAATTTTGAAGAGTCGAAATAGGATGAACGGATCATATAAACCCGAAGGCAAATATAATACAAGCCCAAACAAAAAAATATAAACAAGTCTAAATTGAAAACAACGTTCAAACCTATGATTGCGTTGGATAAAATCCGCAATTTTTATACGTGTGCATGCAAAACAAATTTCTTGTTAGAGGGGTCTAAATACAGCACAAACAACATTTTCCAAAAGACCAAAAAAGTGAAAAAACAAAATATATATATATATCATATCCTCTGGTCTTCCATTTCAAACAATCGTCATTGTTCTAGTAATATTTTGTTTAAAAAGAGAACAAACTAGTGGTATAGTAGACTGGTATCTTTTCAAAGTAAAGCAAACAAGTGCACACAAAAAAAAATAATATTTTTACCAATCCTACATTAACAATTTTGATTTTTTTTATGGACTGACTTTTTATTTTAAATCGATCGTCTTAATGGTTAGGTGGCAGCGTGCTAGCTTTGAGTGAGTCTGGTCGGTTATGATTTTCTTGAAAATAATTATTTGCCTTCCAATAACTTTATATTATAGGATTTGTAAAACAACATTCATACTCGTAACAATATTTAGTAAATTGTATGGAGAGATTATTGAAATATTGATCACACAATATAAATGGAAAGGATTTACTTTATTATAACATATATCTTCAAATATTAACACAAGTTGTATAGCTGTATCCTTGACTGATTTAAAGTCAGGATTATCCAAAAGTGTTTTGTATTCAGATATATGTTAAACATGTTAAAGCTTTGCACGCTTTTGATACCGTACCTTTTGGACTTAGTAAATTAACTCATTGGTCGCGGAGTTGCTTCCTTACCTAGTGACTTGGGACCGTGGTTAACATGCTAGATCAAACCCAACAATTAAAATTGTTATTTGCTGTTTTTCTCTTTAACAAGCGGCACTGTCGATTAAACAGCAAAGACTGATCAGAATGTGTTAAACAATTATACAAGTATTGCTATACATTTTCTTGTTTACTAGCTCTTTAAAGCTTCAGCTCTTTGTGTCGTTCCGATACAATACATACTCATATAAAATAAACTCTTTCTCATGCACAAATGCATTCAATATTTGCAATGCAAATTAATTATCATAATGAAAATAGGTTTGCATGTTTTACCATAAGAGTACACGTGTTATTCACAACCTATTGAGTACCTGATATCCTTGGAACTTTATTCTGATCGTCTTGTCCATGTAAACCAGGGTTTTTTTTCGTTTTAATGGACTAGCGGGAATTTGTACGTCCATTTTGTAATGTTTATTATACCATACACCCCTTTTTTGATCTTTGGAAGAGTTATTCCGGTCCTTCACAATATTAAACAAGAACTGCAAATATAATAATACAAAAGCTATAATTTCAATCCCCAAAACTATCATATTACACATATTTGTTATACAAATTGTCGCTGGGCTTCCAAATCCTCGTATAGGACTTGTTTGTAGCTAAAACTGCTTTTTCCTTTTTCACAAAAACCGATTTGACGGTAGGAAATCTCTGATATTCCAAATTATCATACATTGAGAATAGTTAGCAAAGGTATCAGGCTTATAATTTGATACGCCAGACGCGCGTTTCGTTTACATAAGACTCATCAGTGACGCTCAGATCAAAAACGTTAGAAAGCCAAACAAGTATAAAGTTGAAAAGCATTGATGACCCAAAATTCCAAAATGTTGTGCCAAATACGACTAAGGTAATCTATGCCTGGGATAAGAAAATCCTTTGTAAAAACATTTATAAAAAACATTTATAAAAAAAACATTCGACAAAATTTCTGAAGTTTGCTTGTAAAATGTTGTATGTAAACTTGAAAATTGTTTTATCACATTTTAGAATCGCTTAGGAATCATAAATTGTACATTTCATTATTTCTGTGAAAATAAGGACAGTTTTTTTGTTATCCAGAAGTGTCAAAGTTTTTAATTTCACAGCCGTTTACAAAAGTATTCATGATCACCAAAGATGATGCAGTTGATTTTTCCTCACTGTATTGGATACATGAATAACGAAGGTGTCCTTACAAACAACGTTTCATTGCTGGGTCTTCCAAATAATCTACTAAACCTCTATATGAATAATCAACTTCAAATTTATAAGTAATCAAAGCCGGGCTTCAAGGTTATTGTGAAACTACATAATCTAGAGGCGGCGTGATGCAGATGCGATGCTAAAGATTTCAAAAGATCTGTTAGAATGCATACAATCTAAAACTCTTTTATCTTGCAATAGTATTAGAATATTTGACTTTTCTACTCTTTACACTAGTATTCCAAACTAAAAGACAAATTAAAATATCTGGTCGTAAAAAAGAATGACCAATGTAGGTACAAGTATTTTGTCTTAAGGCATGATATATCGACCTTTGTAAATAATCACTATCATTTAGACAAAAATTCTCTGAAACTGACATTATGACGGAGATGCTTGATTTCTTGACAACATATTTGTAACGTTTGGAGGACGTGGTTTTCAACAACAATTGGTAGTTCCATGGGAACCCACTGTGCTTCTCTTCTTGTCGATTTGTTCCTTTATTTATATAAGGTTGGCTTCAAACAAAAGTTTTTAATAGAAATAAGCTAGTATTATCCTTTAACTTTACTCTACGCTATATAGATGATGTCCTCTCATCAAATAATTCAAATTTTCCTGACTGTGTTGTACGCATATATCTCACTAAACTTGAAATGAAAGATACAATATACACAGTTAAGTCTGCCTACATCACGACTTACATCCAGAAACGATAATGAGGGTCGGTGGAGAACAAAACATTACGACTAAATAGATGATTTCTGCTTCGAAATTGTGACTTGTGTATGAAGCAACGTGCCAGCAGCGCCTCCATTATGGGTATATATCTACAAGTTTTTACGATATTCCTGGAATTGTACTTCCTATCATGATTTCCTTGATAGAGGTTTGCTGCTCAACAGGTAACTATATAACCGTGAAGTTGCTTACCTTTCTGGAGCACATAAGATCAACTCCAGTTTTGGGTGGGGTTCGTGTTGCTCAGTCTTAAATTTCTATGCTGTATGTTGTGTATTGTTGTTGTGTCTTGTGAACTTTTTTTTATAGGTAGCAAAATTTCAGCAGCGCCTGTATATGGAGAATATATCTCCCAGTATATACGATATTCCACGGCTTGAAGTCCCTTTAGTGATTTCTTTGATAGGGAGTTGCTGCTCACACGGATTTAAACCAAGAATTCCACGTGATGAAGATGAAATCAACCATTCAAAAATTATACAGACGTCATAACGAGTTGGTTGACCGTTATGTAATATCTGTTTCACGGCTGACAACGAATAACCAATTGTTGTAATTACAATCCGGTTATCTTTCCCCCGAATGTGACAGAAATAAACTTATTATAGGATAAGTTATAACACTAGTAACCCGACGGGTGCCACATGTAGAGCAGGATGTCCACCTGAAATTAACTCTGTATTTTTTCTTGGGTTCGTGTTGCTCAGTCAGTAGTTTTCTATGTTGTATTTTGTATAATGTTGTTTGCCTTTAAGTCGATTTCTTTTTAGCCATAGCGTTGTCAGTTTAGTTTCCACTTACACGTTTGAATGTCCCTCTCTTGTCTGTCGACACTCTAGCCATACGTCTTGTTTACATCATGCTTTGCTGGTTTTTCTAGTCATATCCATGTTAGAGTCTGAACATTTTTTTTAAATTTCAATAGCTTCTATGTGATATGTTGGTGTTAATATTGTTATAAGTTATTGAATAGGAAATGGAAATATTTAAAATTATTGTTGATCTTGCAAATCGGTTAAACAGACATATTTCAGGTCCCAATGCATTTAATATGTACACATGTATCTATGTAGCGTATTTGAATGATAGAGATCTTTTCAATTAATACAGAAAAAGCTATGATCGATATAATCTTTTTGTTAATTTAAAAGTACGTGTTTAGTTAATTCATTATGACATTTAAACGAATATATCTCCCTAATGCAAAGCTCTAGTTTCTTGTCCAGCTTTAGCTATACTTTTGTCTTTCATGTCCCCGCCGTAACGAAGGGGCATTAAGTTTAACCCTTGCCCGCCCTGATCGGCTGTCCGTCTGTCCTGTATGTCCCGTCCGTCCCGTCCGTCCGTTTGTCCGTCCGTCGCGTACGTCTCCAAAAAGAATTTTCCGTTCTCTAACTTTAGTTTGCCTCAAACAAATGTTATGAAACTTATACACAGAGATTATTACCACAAAAACAGACCAAGTTTGAAATTGGGTGGCGTCATTTTTACCGTTGTAGAGTTATGCCTCGTTATAAGCATAACATTTGCTGAATTTTTCTTTTCCATTCTCTTACTTTAGTTTTCCTCATCCAAATGTTATACTTATGCACAATGCTTATAATCATCAAACGGTCTTAACTACGTGAATCCTACATCTGTATGCGGAAATTGACTCATACTGGAAGTCTGAATATTAAAACGAGATTTGAAATCACACATTTGATACACTTTAGCCCCATGTCCAGCGATCTAGACCACTCAATCACATCCGCCATATCAAAATATAACAGCAGTAGTCGTAGTGTTACCTTGTCACGTAAGGCGAATCTAAAGATAGATGTAAGACATGTGTTTTAAGCGTGTGTAGATGTTATATTATTTTTATTATAAACAATGTCTTTTTATTTGTCAGCAATCTAACTCGACAATTTTTGCATATCGTATGGGATAATGATTCAATTCATTATAAAGTCACTTGAAATAAGTATATAATACAAACAAGTCTAGGTTAGTGACAACTATATATATCGTCGTACACATGATACAGATTATTTCATAATCTTAAATAATGTTAAAGCAGTCGTTAATATTTTCAAAATTAAATATACAGTTATTGTAAATAAATTTATTATAATTTAAATGAAAGGACATATAAATAAGCTTGTGTGTATTTGTTGTAGATAGTCCCACTTGTTGTCTATTGAAAAAATACTACAATGCTTATTGGGATTCTTGCCTTTATACTGGCCGATAGTACTACAGATATGTTTACTGGATAATCAATATGTTTAGGTATTCAATATTAATTATTTTTATCTCTAATACGATAATTAAGTAGAAACAAATATTAACTACCTTGCTGTATTAAAAGACATATATTTATAACTGAAAATAATACAAAAATGTTCAAAACACGAACTCCTCTTAATCTCAAAAGAAAATATATCTTCCGTAATCATGGTAATGTAACGAAAATACATTTAAATTAATCTGTCAACGTATTCATTGAACCGGTGTTTTGTGTTTAATTGATTGTTGAGATAGAGTATTAACTGTCTATTCATTTCAAACAACAGTTGGTCAATTTATTAACTTTCTTAAAATATAGTTCACAAAAGACTCAATTGAGATAAATTTGTCTTTTAGTTGGGAATGGGCAATAATTGTGTAAAGTGTAGACAAGTCAAATGTGTTAATACTATTGCTAATACTAATATAAGATAACATTGATTGATGGCTGTCTGTTTTCCGTCTAGTGCAAAACAATTCATAAATATTAGGGACAAAACCAAATTAACAAATAATCAAAACAGTTGGTTCTGCAAAGTGGTTAGACTGACACGAAAAGTTACAAATGTAGACTGCTACATGTTGGATAGGGGCAGATATGTTCGCTGCAGCATACCTATGGCTGATCAAATTATAATACTTTAGAAGAAGTTTTAGATTAAAATGAACTTAGTCTACATGAAGTGTGCCAAACCCTTTCTGCTTTTCGGTGACTGAATGTTTTGTTATATTTTTTCACAACAAAGAACAAGGTCAGATGCATCGAGTTTTTTTAACTCCGTTTCTGTACAAATGACGAAAGATCAGCATAGATCACACATTACTGATTAATAACTCCAGTCGGGCGTTTTCTCTACGCGGGACTTAAAAGTAAAGCACTTTTTCAAACTCAACTAGAAAATATAATCATTGACAACGGTGACGTGCATACACATGGTATGACATTTAACAGAAATTAAAATTATTTTGTAACTGCATCATCATTCTAGCAAAATAGAAAATTCTGTTAAATATTCTGAAATATTTTAGCAAACTAATGCAAAAAAAGTATAGAAATATTATGTTTAAAGAGTCCTTGAACATGGTTTCTATGTAATTAATAGACAAAACATATAACATTTTGACCGTGAGATATTGAACGATCAGATCATTTGAGCGAGTAGTAGACCTAAACCATTCATTTAAATTGACCTGCTAATGATTAAAAAGAAATATGATCAGTGTTTGCAAAACACATTATTGTTTGTCATGTTTAAGTGTAATATAGGCCTACATTTTTTCATCTTGTTTCGTTTGTATAGAAAAACATTAAACATTCATGTGTAATGTATGCTCTTTGTCGTACAAAAAATAAATTGCTGGACGTACACGGAAACTTTTGAGTGATTTAAAAAACAATGAAGCAGGAAGAAAACGTGATTAAGTTTGATCTTGATTAAAATATGTTGTACAGACTGTAGCAGTTTTCAAATAATGGATTAACTTAGTGACAAATTGATAGTTTAAATTTGCACTTCTTCTGTATTGACTAAGTAATACTAATTTTGCCTTTATATTTGTTGGTGGATACTTGTTCAAATATGGTTGAAAAAAATGTTGAAACATCTTAAGATTTCTATTGTTCACCCTTACCGAAAAATAAGCCCTGCGGCAAACATTTGCCGCAAGTTTGCAGCAAACATTGCCGCAAGCTTGTAGCAAAAATTTTCTGCAAACTTGCCGCAACCATTTTACCATGCAAATGAAGGTTGCGGCAAGCTTGCTGCAAACATAATTATGCAAATTAGATTTGCCGCAAGCTTGCGGCAATTGTTTGCTGCAAGCTTGCGGCAATTGTTTGCTGCAAGCTTGCGGCAATTGTTTGCTGCAAACTTGCGGCAAACTTGCAGGAACTACACATATACCAATGTCATGTGTGTAGACACATTCAATTTATCTCTTTCAAATTACACAACAACATTTTTAAAAAGAATTCCTGCCTGTATACAAACAGTCATTGAAAGAATTCTTGCAAACTTAAAGATTTAAGGAAATACATACATGCATTTGAGTTTTGAAAAAGGGGGCAGGGGTCATTCTCAAATGACATCATATACCTGTATTAAGAAATGAAAAAGGATAAATCTCAAATGTGTATTGGGTATAAAGCTAGGCAATAATTGCATTACAGAATTGAACTTAATTTTAATACACATGGTACAGTACATCAGTTACAAAATTCAATTTAACTTATAATAGCTAAAGTTTTACAAACACACATATATAATTGCTTACTTAATTATGTATGATGTGACATTAATTATTTTATTAAAACATGCAGTTCTATGAATTCTTTGTACTTACAAAATAACATATTGAATATATCCTATATTATTGAACCAAAATGCCTCCTTGGTCTCTTATATGTGAAATGCATTTTCCAAACACAATCAACATGACCTAGCCACAATCTCAAATTGTTTACTTCCAGGAAGTGCCAACTAGGCATGCCCAGTCAATATTGTGTAATTCTTGCAATGTTCTGGCAAACATATAGAATGTTCAAAGTTTTCTGCAATCTAGCGGCAAACATAGTATAGAATGGTCAAAGTTTTCTGCAATTTTGCGTCAAACATTCTTTATTATCTTAACTTTCTGGCAATCTTACGGCAAACATTGATTTTTCTGCAAACTTGCCGCAAGCTTGCAGCAAAAAACTGCAATGTTTGCCGGAAGTTTGCAGCTAGCGGCAAACATCTGCAAACACTATTTTCTGTGTTCCTGCAAACTTCTTGTTTGCCGCAAGCTTGCAGCAAGACTGCTGCAAGTTTGCGGCAAACAATTCAGTTCCATAAGGGCATGCAATTTCAAGATGTTATATTGTAAAAGATCCAAAACAAGCACAGGAAATAATGACGCACATTAAAAATTTGTGTGGCAACTGTTTTTTTAGCAATTTAATGCATTATTATAGAATGCAGATATTTAAAGATAGCAATGATGCAATACTTATTAATTATATGAAATTTTAGTGTTTCCATGAGAAGGTTTTATCTTAATAAAAGAACATTCGAGGTTATTTATAGTATCTAGTGCATACATATTTAATGCAAGAGAGCGCTTTGCAAGGTAAATCAAAAACAACAAAAGAGGTAGATAAATGTTCCAACTTGCATGGCCAACATGACAAGCGCCAAGTGTGATCATGAAAAAGCGTATGAGGTCAATCCCAATTTTTGTTCGGTTCGTGTTGATCATTTTTGAGATTTATATGTTGTGTTTAAGTACACTGTTCTTTGTGTGTAGTCATTTTCGTTTTTATATCGTCAATTTCAGTTCTTTTCGGTTTATGACTTTGGCTATCCCTTCGATGCCTTACGCTTCTTTTAAAATATAATTTGATTATTAGATATGTAAAGGATAACTTACTGGACAAAAAGTAAAATAACAAAAATACTCCGAGGAAAATTCAAAACGGAAAATCCCTAATCAAATGGCAAAATCAAAAGCTCAAACACATCAAACGAATACCTAACAACTGTCGTATTCCTTACATGGTTCAGGCATTTTCTTGTGTAGACAATGGTGAATTAAACCTGGTTTTATAGCTAGATAAACCTGTCACTTGTATGCCAGTCGTCTAAAATTCCGTTATATTGACAACGATATGTGAACAAAACAAACAGACATAATATGTAAATTGTCAAAAATAGGGGTACTGCAGTCAGCATTGTGTTATAATCTTAATCACTATAAAAACAAACAAATAAGTCAACAAAGAAAGACAAAAAGGCATATATCATGTATAGACAAAGCACATTAGCAAAAACGAAAGACAAGAATACCAAAATTTACCATAGCACAATAACACAATGACGGGATGTATAAGTACCGAGCCACGTCCAAGGGATATTACCAAAAAAATAGACTAAAAAGTAAAAGTATTAATATACATAGACAAATAAAAGAATAATATAACACGTTATTAAGATGATGAACAACGTCAGTACCTATCAGCTATACTTCAAGACCGTCGTGCATTATTAGTGAAGTTGCTACGGAATATTTATCAACAAGGTCTTGGTATCTTCCGATAAACTTTTCTTAGAAAAAGGATGAGACGTACTTTGACAAAACCTTTGTTAATCAACTTTCTGCTCAGACACCGGTGACGTTTTACAAAGTCTGAGTAGCAGCTGCAAGCTCTTGAATACAGATTTAGTTGGGGAATATATATCCAATATGCAGGTGCAGTTGGTATATTGCTACTATGGTGGGGGAAATTGATAATTACAAAATTACAATCGTTTCGTTTGTCATAGATTCTGGTACTGAGATGACCGCTGATGTCAAATTCGAGGTATAAGTCTAAAAATGTGACAGAGGAAGCCGTGTCTGTTGTTTTTTTAATTTTTAGTTCTAGAGGATATATTAATGGAAACCAATAAAAAGAGTTCTTGCTTTTCGACAAATGTCTGAGGGAATTCCGACTCATATGAACATAAAAAGAGGTCGGACAGTTCATTCCCATAGGATTGCAAAGGTCATTAGCTAGCTTGTAATGAATGATAAATCATATTTCATCCTATAGTGTTCGAAAAAAAATCAAGTTTATTGAGTTTGCTAATCTTCAAATTATCCATACATGATAGTGTTTAATATATTATTAGAGTATATACACAAGAGATTCAAAATATGCACGTTGAATGTAGAAATTAAGGTTGTTTTATGCTAGAATAACTTACCGATGTCCATAAAATTTCTCTTCTTCAGAATTGAATTTCTCAAGATATTGTTAAAAAACTAATCTTCCTGATGACACTTTTAAATGTAAAACGTCTACAAAGGTCTTATCTTATCACAAGCATAGACACACTTCAGTAAATCTTAATAGCTCAATATTTAAATAATTTGGTACAATGTTAATGATATGTGATATATTTATATCAATGCTTTTACGTAGTTTAATATAGATTATACTCGAGAATAAGATATGTCTTCACTCCAGCTGGTTTAGATCTAAAATTAGTTCACTGTAGAGAGTAGAGAGATATAGTTTTCACGATTTCGTAACATCACATCAGATCAGAGGAAATGAAGTAAAATTTGACATAACAATTGACTTGTGGCCAATGCAAATCAGGAATCAAATACACATCTTAATCAACTGTCTGGGGGTAAAAAATAGATCAGACAGAGTGAACTTACGGAAAAAGACAATACAATACGAAGTGAGTATGGATTCAAATAAAGGCAACAGTAATATACCGCTGTTCAAAAGTAATTAAATCGATTGAGAGAAAACAAATCCGGGTTACAAACTAAAACCGAGGGAAACACGTCTACTTTGAGAGGAAAACAATGAAACAACAGAAACACTGCAGTGCAACAATAGCAAACGCCAACATACATAGAAACGGACTATTTAATAACAACTGCCATATTCCTGACTTGGTACAGGACATTTTAAGAAAAAAATTGTGGGTTGAACCTCATTTTATGGCTAGCAAAACCTCCCGCTTATAAAGCAATATTTAAAAATATCGCTAAAATGACAACACGACGTGACAGGAATACAGTACAAACAAACGCACGAACACTCAGCACAGAGAAACGCATAAATGAATAATATAATAGTACATTTCAACATGTAAACCGCAGAATAACAACGGACATCTTCCCTTTACAACACCACACCACAAACCGTGATGTATTTTTGTGACGTACATATACTCTTGAATTTCATACTATTATATGAAACCAGATCCAAGAATTTACAATTATTTTCACAATACTAGTCCAAATAATTATCACGGTCTTGAAAGGCTAACGTTTCACTTGATCTCATGATCAATCAATAACTGTTGGTTTCAAAGTCACGTATTTCCTCTGACACTTTTTAAGTTCTTTTCAAACAACTGCGTTTTATAAAGGTTAGCGTATTGAAGAAACAGTTAGCCTATAATGGTGAGCCTCACCTGCAGCCTTAAACATGATTTTGATATTAGTCATAGATAGATATAAGAAGATGTGGTATGAGTGCCAATGAGACAACTCTCCATCCAAGTCACAATTTGTAAAAGTAAACCATTATAGCTCAAAGGACGGCCTTCAACACGGAGCATTGGCTCACACTTAACAGCAAGCTATAAAGGGCCCCCACAATGACCAGTGTAAAACCATTCAAACGGGAAAACCAACGGTCTAATCTATTAAAAAAACGAGAAACGAGAAACAGTTATGAACCACATCAACAAACGACAACCACTGAACATCAGGTTCCTGACTTAGGACAGGTGCAAACAAATGCAACGGGTTTAAACGTTTTAATATGCGCCAACCTTCACCCAACCTAAAACAATAGTGTAAAATCACAACAAAGAAAGACACACTATGAAATATCAATTTTACTAAACATAGTGTTTAATTCAGATTTAAATTTCATATACTAAGTAAAGACACTGATCGTATATCATTGTGCACAGGAAATCACCAAAGCCGTCAATGTATAACTTTATCATAAAAATTAAGAATATAATATAAAGAAATGCATCGAAAAGAAAATTATTTGAAAAAAAAACATGTTGATTTGAGATGTTTTCTCTGCCATATAAAGAAGCGTAACTACCATTGATGTTCTGATATTTGTCTATGTTAAATTCGCACTTTTCCAAAAAATGTGAAGAATTTATATTTGTTTTAAATAAGGATATACTTGGCATTAGTAAAGTATTATCCTGTCCAGTACTACTGACAAAATATCACATACATTTTATTGCATATAACATAAAAACCATTCAATGGAAGTTAACCAATCAAATTGTCACCCCCTTTTTCCAGTTTAAAAGCTTTAGTAACCATGTAACCTCAATTTTCCAAAATATTTTATTGACACACCAAATTAAAAATAATGATTACATGTATTTGAGACGCCCCAGATATATGTTTATGACTCAGACTTTTTTTCTGAAATGAAATGCAGGATTAAATTCCTACCACTCTCAAATTCAGTTGAATATTATTGTTCGACCCTCTGTCGTGTGAAACCGGATGTGACGTTCTATAATTTGGCAGTATTACACCCAAAGGACACCTCTATATTTACAACTGTCATACTTTTAGAATTCAAGGCCATGAAAAGTGTAGAATGAATATCCTTAATTTTCATGTGATCGAAAGGAAATGCATAGTTTTTGGGTTACAATACATATATTTGCTTGGTACTTTATGGTATATGCAGAATGATAATAACGATGTGTGTACATTTACGTTCATGTTTCCTTCGTTATGTTACCTCTTATAAATTTCTAAGAATAACATTGGTTAAAAGCGAACACGTGGGAACCGTGAATATTGAATATATGGTCAGTGGACGTGTTATATTTTAGCTACACAATCAGTGGGCGATGTTCATTTCAAATAATTGGTAAGTAGCAGAGTAAGTTTTCTCTTATAAAAAACTCAAATTAACATACATTGTAAATCTACTTAATTATGACGAGTTCATGCTTTTAGACATAAACATGTCTGAGAGACGCTGACTTTCTCGGTGTATATTACTCATGTTCGGTTTGATGTTTTGTAAAAATTGTGATATCAAACTACGTCTAAACTTTCCATATTAAGGAAGTCGGTAAGATGAATTCGTCACATAAAGTTTTAGTGACCTTATCTGATATAAACGGGGTCAGTAAATAAACGCAACAGTAGTATATCGCTGTTCAAGTCATAAATCGATTTAGCAAAAAAACAAATCCGGGTCACAAACCAAAACCGAGGGAAACACATCAACTATAAGAGGAAAACAACGGAATAACAATAAAACTGAACTGCAACTACACATTGGGGCTCGCTCTCACCCAATATGGAATTTACTGACCCCGTAAAGATCATATTAGAGGTAAATTCAGTAAATAAACATACGGCATTACGGAACAGCCATTTGGGAGGGATGAATGAGCGGGGGTGGGGATTTCTGTATAAAGCTGATGACCTGTGCTCCACTGGTTGGTAAATAGTTTCTGATAGCTGAATCATTGAATATTGAATGCACTTATTATTTTACTACATGGCTGAAAAGTAATGATGTTAGTGTAGGTATTCATATTGTGCGAATCTACAGTGTTTGTAAATAATGTCATGTGAATGGTCCAAAAATGCTGCATGTTGTTTTAGTTGTAAAAGATGCAGCTATATTAGTACTTTGATGAATGATATATGAAAGCTTCTGATTTCGTTAGGTAAAACAGGTATACATATTATTCAAGAAATAGTTTTGCATTGAAATCAATCTGAGATTTAAACGGAATTTACCCCTATAGGGAAACTTTGCCCTCTGTGACTGTACTTGTCCATGGTCACACAATAAAACCAAAGCTCATTTCCTGTAAATATAAACATGATAAATGCAAAAGAAGCTTTTCGGAAACAATTAGTGTTGTTTCTCTTGCAAAATCTATGTTTAACTGCGACTGACAAGGAATCACTAAGTCTACTGTTGGAGTAGGAAGACAGTCTATGGGGGGAAACATTCTGTATCCAGAATGAAAGAAACAGTAAAAATTACCCTTGAGAGTTATAGTTTAATGTAAGACATACATATTCTCCGTATTTTACATCACATTTTGCACATTTTTCTATTTCCCGTCAAAAAGTACCGTCTTAGTGCAAGTACAGTAGATTTTTTTTAAAGTAAACAAATATAGACAAACGTTAAAGAATTATATGGATAAGTTTAAGAAGATAGAGAGACCGTTGTGGTAATATACGAATAAGTTAAAGAAAAATGGGAGACCGTTGTGCTAATATATGGACAAGTGAAAGAAGATTGGGAGACCGTTGTGGTAATACAGTTGACCCTCGTTATCTCGAAGTCAGCCGTATATTGATACGTTAGAAAAAGAGTGGGAGAGCATTGTGGTAATATAAGGACAAGTTATAGAAGAATGGGTAACATACTAATGTACGGATGATTATACGATACTTTTTCAACGTCATATAATGTACAGGTAACTCTCTCCCATGCAGAGTTATCGGTCCTTGCTCTCTAGTAGGTAACTCTACATGGGAGAGAGTTACCTGTACATTATACACAGAAGTAAAACATAGTGTCTTTGAAAAAGATCTATTTTTGTCTGAGCCTTAATAAATGGGTACCAGATTTTGATGAACAGTTAAGAATTGATGTTAACAGTTTTTTTCTGATGTTTTGTTGTTACACCACTTTTAGTGGAGGGTTGAATAATGAATATGATGAAAACATAATAACCCCGTAATGTTCTTTGTGCCTGTCCAAAATTAGAAACCTGCAATTCAGTAGACGTCGTTGGTTGCTGATTGTTACATTTGTTTTTCGTTTATTGTTTAGTCATAAATCAGACCATTTCTCGTTTGAATTTGTTTTCATTATTTTCATGTCAGAGACTGCGATAGCTAACTATACTCTATGGATTTTACTCTTTGTTGAAGGCCATACGGTGATTTATTTCTGGTGGATAGTTGCCCCATCGACAATCATACTACATCTATCTCCCTGTGTTAATAGTATAGAGAAACATTTAAACCGGTCTTGGGAGTCTGCTACTTACGAACTGTTCCCGTTGTCCTGGTTTCACTACCACCGGTGGAGCTTGAATAATACACCATTGATGTATGATTCGGGGTAAATCAAAGGGTATTTGGTCCAGTTTTCTACTTACACCGTACAGGCAACACTATAACTGGAACCACCTAAAAGGCCATTAAGTACACTTGCACCGGCAGCTACAGCATTGGCAGCCGTTCCAGCCGCTGCTATAGCAGCTGCCCAGTCTATTAAACCAGTCACTCTGGCAAATAGCCCTGAAAGTTAGAAACATCTAAAATTGTTCAAAGTAAAATATAACTGT